AGTATTTTAGTTTTACTTTTATTTATTTTCATACAGTACTGATCTGTCAGTACCGCTTCCATTTTATTTAAAACTATCTCTAGGTCCTCCTTGCTAGATGCTAATACTGCTATATCATCTACAAATCTAAGCATACTAATCTTTTGCCCTTGCACATCTATCCCTACAGTTGTACTGTCTTTAATGATGTTGATGGCGTCTTCGATGTATAGATTAAAAAGTAGCGATGACAGTGTGACTCCCTTCCTAATATTTACTTCTCTACGTTGCATCCCCAGCTCTATAACTGCCTGTTGCTCTTTGTACAAACTAAGTATCATTCTTCTATCTTTGTAATTCATCCCTACATTTTTAAGTATATTTAACATCCTGTCCCAAAAATAAAATAAAAGAGAAAATATTTTCTATATCTAAGAATTCCTTTCTATCAGTGTATAAGATGGGATACTTTCCCACTTTTGAAAAGACTTTCGCTAATTCCTGATCTAGCTATTGTCTCATAAAAATCGATTTTGTATCAGTACTCTTACCTGTAAATAAGTTTTCTTCTCACAGATCTTTTGAAGAACCCGGAACAGCCATTGCAAGCCAATATTCCGTAATGCTTTCCAGAACTCGTATCTCCGCATACAACGCATATAAGTCCGGGGGTTCCCTTCTTGGGAGGTAAACTCCAAGGAGGCGGCGGAGTTCGCGAAGCCTGGACCAGAGTTTGAGATCCAGCCAGACAGAGCGAAAGCGGTCGATCTGCCACAGACTCCTTCACCGACGAGGAATAACAGTCGACGATTCCCGGTGAGCTTCGTATATCTGAAAAGGAACGAATAATCAGAACCGATAAGGTAATAGTACTTTTTTAATAATTACAAAACTGCACAGGCGACAATGTAGGTTTTTCATGTTATTGTGAATTATATTCGAGAAAACTCAAAGTAAAACATCTACCTTGAAAAAGTCCCCTGTTAGGAGCGAATCGTTGGTGTATTTGTATAAACAATAGAAAAACGTTGGTGCTGTGTGGACTGTGATTTCTACATATTAAGTAGGTACGATTGAACGGAATGGTATTGGTATCCACTTCATGGAATAATTTTAATTTCAAAAAAACTTGTATGTATGTAAATAGTTTGTCTGTCACGGAAATCAAGTCTTTCAATCTTTTTCTCGCTTTTTCCGTGTATATTTTGTTTCCCCCTTCCACCAAAATCAGTCCCCAACACGTATAATTATAAGATATAAGATATTACCTCTTGTCAAATTTCATGATTCTATCGGGTTGTTCGGAAAGTCATTTCGTTTTTTCCCGACAGAGGATTTAATTGTATTCTTTTGCACCCAACTTCACATTTAAGCCGTATAATTTTTATATGCTTTGAGAGCTCATATAGCAAGGCTTGTGTGTGAAAAATTCCAATTAATTCTACGCAGTAGTTTTTGGTTGGTGCCCTTTTAAA